GGGTTCAGTTTGCCTGAGGCCCTTTGAGGTCTTCGATACTAATAATTCTTTGATATAGGGTTGAGACGTCTCAAAGCGCTGCTTCAAGAAGAACTGTAAATGATGCACATTTGCTTTCAAAACAAATAGTCAACGGTGCATCTTTCTTATAGTTCGGTCTTCAGGTTTGCCTTACAAATTACCTTCACTTGATTGTAAAACTCACACAATTACCATGGCCAACCAGAGGCAATAGACTCACTTCTCCTGGTTATATTTCCTTTCATAGATTAGTGCTTGTTAGAATTCCCTTTCTAACGTCGACGTCCCCTCCCCAGTCAGCCAAAGCTGTCGTGATTTCAGATCACGCGGAAATAAGAGTAAGCCAATAAATACCTTCCCTTAAATAAGCTGTCCAATAGATTTCAGGCCAATAATAATAATAATCCTTGCATTTGATGTAGCGCCTTACCATGTCGTTGAGACAGCTCAAACCACTTCACAGAATATATTGTAAAGTGAATTGACTGGTTATTTTGTGCGCGAAACTATGGCACCCAACAATAATTGTAACGGATGTGGTATGGTGTCAAACTCACACAACACACAGGTACTAATATCCCCATTGTTTTATGGGAAAAATATGAGACCTGTCATGAATAACAGTATCAAAGTCTAACTCATCCTTACTACACTATCAGCCATTCATTAAAAAAGCTACTCTCCCTCAAACACACAGAGGGAAAATAAAAGTCTCGATTTTAACCTACTGTTTAGCTCTCAAATCATGTATTCCAATTATTGCCATACTTTATTCTGCTTTGCATAATAATCCTTCTTGCAAAAGGCAGTGTATAATTTATTCTGTTCACGCACTTCCATGAAACTCGAGATGAAATCACTCACCTCAACTATTGTGTCTTTGTTCCACTGGTGAGTCAGTGACTGGAGGACAGCAATTTATGATAATTAGCAGGAAAGCAAAGGGGAATTTTTCTTCAATCACAGAAGAGAGTTATTAGGGTGTGAAAAATGGATACAGTGGTCAAGGCCAAATCCCTATTCGCTTTCAAGGGGGAGAAAACAACACCTAAAAAGGAGGAATTTGCAAGGTATGGGTAAAAGTCGGATAAATGGGACTGAATGAATTGCTTTTCAGTCAGCCATTAGAGACACAAGACGAAAGATCTTCTTCTGTGCAGTACATTTGTTTGGTTCTTTCATGAATGGATCTCCATTTTGCTTAAGCCCTATGTTATTCCCTATGTTAAACAGCTCCACTCACCTTCATGCAAAATCTCAGTTCTGTTTACGTTCATTCACCGTTTCCTCAACTATGCTCCAGCACTGTTTGCCTTTTCACTCGTTCTAACCTACGAGTACCTCTCCTGCCTGGATTCACTTGACCCTCCCCCCACCCCATTACTCAACACAACAGATGGGCCTAGATGGGCTGAATGGCCAGTCTCTGGGCTGTACTTTCTATAAAACCACGACACCAACCTCGGCAGCACGAAGTGACAAATCACACCACAACCTTGTGCACTTAATAAGCATCTCTCCCTCCGCTCAGCGGACTTCGGTCTGCCTCGCCCCGCCCAGCTCTCAATTGGTGGTTGGGCCTCCACCCTTTGGAACAGCATTTCCCAGACCCTTCCTTGCCTCCTTTAAGGCCCATCTGAAGACCGTCTTCTTCAGCCACGCCCTTGCTCACCCTCCTACTCCTACTGCCTGCCGGCCACCACACCTGATCCCATTCCCCAGCTCGGGTCCAAATCCCTGACTGTCCAGCACCTTGGGCTGTTCTTCCAACATGAAAGGCGCCGTACACATGTAATTTATTGTTGTCACAAGTTCCATTGTGTTGGGAGACAGTTTTGACATAATGTTGGTTTACTTTTCAAATATGCGCAATTATACAGTGAATATAGAGTTGCGAGCTGGGTTATTTTCTAGAGTACACAGTGTACAGCAAATAAATGTACAAAATTCTCGATTTTCCTCGATGGCAATAAGAAAAAAATCTCTAAAAATGTGATCCTTGTGTTTGCGATCCTTCCTGGTCGACAGTCCTCAAATAAAACTGGTCACTCACTCTAGTGGCTTTTCGTGCGACATTGCTGCGGGCAAATTGCCTGCTGCGTTCATCTGCAAAATAAATGCAGTCACACCACTTTGCATTACATCCCATGAAAGCTTTAAGACATCTCGACGATGTGACTGAACTGAAGTTGCCAATTGCAGCCACGAAGCAATACAAATAAATACAAAATGACATGTGCACAGAGCCTTTCAGGTCAGGAGGACGTCCCAAGGCGCTGGACAGTCCGGGATCTGGATCCGAGCTGGGGTTTGGGCTCAGTGAGAGTGGAGGGCAGGGAGGGTAAGGGTAGGAGGGTGGCTGAAGGCGCGGTCAAAGAGGAGGGTCTTGAAGGAGGCAAGGGATGGAACGAAGGGAGTGAAGGGAATGTGGGATGGTGTTCCAAAGGTTGGGGGCAGAGAGCTGGAGCCTGCTGAGCGGAAGGGGGGGATAGGTTGATATGGGGGTTAGCAGATCACAGAGGTCGGGAGGAGCAAAGCAGTCTTGGTATTGCAAACAATTGGCCTCCATGCAATCATTGCAAGTTTTTCCTTAATGCTTTTATTTTTGTCGCTATAGGCCTCACACACGCCTCTGTTTACTTCGCAATTAATAGGAACCCGATTGTTAGTCAATTGGCGGATCGCTAACCAGGGCTAATAATCCCTCAAAAAAATAATAATAATAATAACGTGGTCACTCAATCTACGACTGTTTGTGGGACGCTGCTGTGCGCAATTGACTGCCACCTTTCACCCACAAAACATACAGTCAATTCACTTTAGAGTATATTCTATGAGACGCTTTGAGACGTCTGAACGATGCGTTAAGGCGCTATATCAAATGTAAGGATTGTTTATTTTTTATTATACGGCCCACAGTTATGGTTCCGATAAAGGAACACGCCCAAAACAACGCACCTTTCTCTCTCCTTTGCTCACTGACCTGCGCTGGGTTTCCTGAGTTCCCACTAAGAAATCATAAACGGGTACTTTCAGCTGGAATCAGTTCCCATCTTGACGCAACAAATGCTCTGGGCTAACAAGCTATCGAGAGAAATTTGTGGTGTTTCATAACACATTCAACACGTTTCTAAAACACCCCAAAAATCCCATTCTCAACATATTGCTCTATTACCGAAAGCATTAAACATCCCAGATGTCCTGTGCAGGCTGGGTCACAGTTGCTGGCAAACTGACTTAAAATAATAATAATAATAATAATCATTGCATTTGATATAGCGCCTTATCATGCCGTTGAGACGTCTTAAAGCGCTTTACAGAATATTACTGTAAAGTGTAAAGATTAACTGTGTATTCAGTGGATGAAACAAATTGTTAAAAGGAAAATATACAGTCAATTCACCTTACAGTACATTCTGCGAAGCACTTTGAGACGTCTCGGAAGACTTCTCGAATCCTTGCATTTGTTGTATCAAATGCAAGGATTATAATAATAATTATTATTAGTAAAGTGAATGGTTTGAAGCCGAGTTTCAGAAATGTCTCAACGTCCATTGATTTCACTGAACACTATCGCTGTAAGGGGAGGAAGTCGACCCTTTTTTTTCAAAAATACAACTGGAATCTAATGGGTTAAGATTTAAATGGACAAGTTCCCAGTCAGTCTTTAATGCAACATCAACCAGAAGTACGCATGTTCAGTGGGTTCAATGACATCATCCCAATGAATTTCAGGCTGCACCAACGCAGGGAAACAGCCTTAACCAGGACAGAGAGAGAGAGAGAGGCTTATTATTATTATTATTATTATTATTATTATTTCACATTTCCCCTTGCAAAATGCTGAACAAACTAAACACAACGCACACACACATGAAAAAGTTACTAGATCTTTACTCAGTCCATTGCAAATCTATTCCCCTCTAAAATAATACACCAGATATAACACAGGACCGATGCCAAGCTCAGCACAAGTTACATGAACACTGTATTTCCTTCAGTGTGTGCAAATCTGAACTGGAGCAAACAAATAAAAATGCTGCGAAATATTCCTAGTGTTTTGTCCAAGGTACAATGAATGAGTCGATTCTTTTTCTCTCTTCCCCACCCTTTTTTGTGTGTGTGCGTGTGTGTGTGTGTTCATCGTTTCCAGATTTTTTTTTTACCAGCAGGAATGATAATTCTTAGGGATTCCCTGTGTCGACAGACACCTGCTTAAAACAACGGTAGACAAATCCCTCTACCTCTGGAGCTGGGGCTGACAATGGTAACATTCTGGATTGGAAACACATCAATAAATTGTTTGGAAAGGACTGTCTCATCGCAATTGTCGCATGGACCATTTATTTCTGAGTAGAATTGCAGTGCTGACAGTCTCAAAGCCAAGCAAACGTTGCAGGGTGGTTATTATTAAACACAAACAACTAGATAAACCGCAAACAAACGCCGCCAAGTGCAATGATAATCCTTGCATTTGATATAGCGCTTTTCACGTCTTCTAGACTTCTCAAAGCGCTTCACAGAATATGCTGTAAAGTGAATTGACTGTATATTTGTGGGCGAAAGTATCATCTTGGGGAGGAAAAAAAAACAATCGAAGCTCTTATTATTCCCAGTAAATAGCAGTAAATCCCACATTTCATTCTCTCTCTTTTTTTTGGCTGTTGCAGTAAAATCACACACACAAACACACACAAAACCATCGCATTCCGCCCTTAAACCCCCCCCCCCCCCCCCCCAGAATGTGCGTTGACAGCAAAAACGCAGGAGTCAAATAACCAATTATTGTTCACAAAGCGACACAGGGAAATTGCCCATTTCAGGTCTGTTTCAGCCTAAAAAGATACACGGTCCATTTCATTACCCATGGCAATTTCTCTCTCTCTCCCGGGGGAGAAAGATCAACTTGAATGAATTAACGAATGCATCAATTGATAACAATATTATTAATTAATAATAATAATAAAAATACAACCTACCCCCAGAACAGTGACTGTATCATCTCCTTTGAATTTCGGGATGAACTGGTCTCCTCTCAAAATCTCTGCTTGGCTCAGTGGCCTGAATCTGCACATGACTTTAATGCTGCATTCAGCTGGTTCTGCCATCTCGCCTGTTTTCTCTGTATATTTTATATTATAATAACATAGAAATATAAAAAAAACACAACAACAACAGCAGCGGCAGCAACAGCAGCAGCAGTCGCAGAACAGCAACCAGACGATTATATCCCCAGAGCAGGTTTCCTTCCAAGATCTTCTTCACCTCTATCTGAACATGGCAGCAATCAATGATGCACCACAATTCTCTGCTGATGCTCTGGGTTTCTGCATAGGGCAACACAAGTCCATGAATCTCTCCCCTTTTTTATAATATATATTTTTTTCGGTGGGAGGTGGGTGGTGGGGTGGAGGGGAGAGAAGGGGGAGAGGGAGAGGGGTGGGATGGGGGGTGGTGGGGGGGGGAGGGAACAAAGGGAGGGAGTTAACGCACAAGAAAATGCAATAAATAAAGGAAATAAATATGCAGTTGGCAGCTGATGCAGAAGTGACCGCTCAAGGTCAATCAATGCTCTCTCTCTCTCTCTCTGGCTCACTCTCTCTCGCTCTCTCTCTCTCTCTCTGACCCTCTCTGTCTCTTGTCTTGTCTCTGGCGAGGTCTCTCCCGCAGTAAGGCAAGGTGCTGCGGAGAGCTCAACAGCATCTGCATCCTCAGCTTGTGACTGCCATCCTGCATCAGCATCAGCCACTCTCTCCTCCTCAAACCACCGCTATATCTCTGGGGCTACGTGACATCACACCACCCACAGCCAAACAGGCTTCCAAAGAGCATCCTTTCTTTCTTTCTCTCTCTCTTTCTCTCTCGCGATAGACTTGTTCATGGGAAATGCAGTTTCAAATCCATTGCGTTTTACTTGGAACAAAGACTACAAATCCCAGGGAGTTTGCTTCTCTTTCTCTCTCTCTCTTTCTTTCTCTCTCTCTCTCCCTCTCACTCTCACTCCCTCTCTCCATCTCTTCAACGCAGGTTTCAATTCAAACCTCGAATCGGATTTGAATTGCTTTCCACACGATGGAGTAATAATTTCTCGCCAAAATGATGAATTGTTAAACATGATAATAATTTGGTCGCTCGATCCACACGACTGTTTGTGGGACACTTCTCTGCCACGTTTTGCCCACAAATTCGCTTTACTCTGGGGAGCGCTTTGAGAAGTCAGATCGACGTGATAAGGCGCTATATCAAATGCAAGGATTATCATTATTACGAACAAACAGTCGATTCGGTTTACAGTGCATTCTGTGAAGCGCTTTGAGACGTCTCGACGACGTGATAAGGTGTTATATCACATGTAAGGATTATTACTATTTCACACTGAATTCATTGCAATAAAAGCTTCTCATTGTTGGCAACATGGGCACGGTTGGGGGGAGAAGGTGGGCGGGGGGCTGGGGGGGTGGAAAGGAGATGGATTAGCCCCAGAAAATCATCAGCGGCCACATCAGGGAAAACACAAGAGACATCCAAATTTTCAGGGCGGGTAAAGGAACCACCAGCATTGCAGCTCAAATTCCAGGGGAGTTGAAAAGTCTGCATTGGCAAATAGGAGCAATCCGGCTAACAGCGAAGAGATTGATTGTGTTTTGCAATGTACATAATGCAAACTCTATTTGTCTTTTTGGTTTACACTGCACCAACTGTTACACCACGGGAATGCAATTTAGCTGACAGAATGTTGGTATTGAGATAACCTCATTTAGGAAAGTGCAAGTTGAGTATACAGTGACAGATGGACGTATTTGTCATATATCTATCTACAGAGGAAGTAGGTTGTTTCCGAGTGCAAAGACTGAAGGCCAAAGAGAGCCCAAGTGCAGATTTACAAGCATTATTAGTTGGACAAACCACTTCATGGCTATTTGTGGGACGTTGCTGTGCACTTATTGACTGCCGTATTCGCCCAGAAAACACACACAGCCACCGCACTCTGTGAAGCTCTTTGGTTCTTCCTCCTGACATGAAAGATGCTATAACAAAATGTTATTATTATCGTCATCACTTTTCGGCTGGAGTTCATTGGTCTAAGCTTGACTTTCTTCCAGAAAACACTCGATGAGTTGCATTGTTTGGTCACTCACTTGATGGTTGTTTGCGGAACATTTTCTGCGAGCAAATTGGCTGCCACGTTCATCTATAAAAATACACAGTCACTATACTTTACATTTTATTCTTTGAAGCACTTTGACACATCCTCCTGAAGTGAAAGGTGCGATATGAAATGAAAGGTCCTACAAATAGCCATGAAGTGAATGACAAATTTTATTTGGGAGATTGTTGGACGGCTCATTCTATGATTAATGACATGGGATCTTTAACGTCCAGTCGAACAGGCAGACAGGACTTTGGATTAACATCTCAATCGAAGGACGGATGTACAGGAGACAAATCAGCTCTCGAAGTCATCTTCAGATAGAAGGAATACTTATTGCTGTAAATTCAGAGAAAGCCGATCTCGATGTAAAGGCCAAAGTATGGAAGTTGTTTTTTTTTTTGCAAATCTCAGCACCTGGTATTCAGAAACCCACAAGTCGCAACTAACGTTTGTGTGAATTTCAGCTTTCAGGTCTCATTGAACGAAGGAAGGAAAATAATGCCCTCCAATTAGGGTTGATGACCCCGACACCCACGATGATGGTGCAAAATCTGCTGCAAGAAAGCAAATCCTTTGCACTGACATTAAGGATATAAATCTCCAATAGTAAACCTTTAGCTCCATCCCACACTGTAATTCCCTCGAAACACTAAATAATGCATCAGGTACTTCTTTCTGAAATGGATGGACTGATAAAAGGACTTGCCAAGTAGATGCACTAATTTAATGTGAAAGATCGCTGGATTTTGAGACAATAGTTTGCACTCCAGAGTCACCAATCTTAAATAAGGTATTTTAGTGTGAAATCAGTACAAAAACTCTATTATAATAGGGGGAAAATAAAGACTGTGTGAGAATTCGGTATGGTTTTGAAAATTTATTTTAGGTAAAGAGAAACACACACATACGAAAAGACGTCTCGACGACATGATAAGGCTCTATATTAAATGCTCAATTTTTTTATTACCACCTATATTAAAGCATTGATAATATATAATAATCCTTGCATTTGATATAGCACTTTTCACGTGTTCCAGACGTCTCAAAGCGCTTCACAGAATAGACTGTAAAGTGAATTGACTGTATATTTGTGGGCGAAACCCGGCAGCCAATTGAGCACAGCAGCGTTCCACACACAGTCGTGGATTGACGTGACCAATTTGTATTATTGCTTTTTTCTCTTGAGGGATTATTATCAGGCGTGTGGAGTAAGGAAGCTTGCCCAAGGTTTCAGCTTGCTGGGAATCGAACTCAAGTCTCTCGCTTGCGAGGCAAGTGCTCTAACCACTGAGCTAAAGGACTCCATCGAGGTCCCAACAAGGATCCATGTGGTTTGTACCAGACTAATCAGAAATTCTGGGATACTGTATATAACGTCTAGTGGGGTCAGGCTCATTGCATGATTGTTAAATGGCCCTGAGAATTGAAGGGATAATAATAATAATAATTTATTAACATTTAATAATATAATCTTATTAATTGAAGGGATGATGTTTCAGGTTGGGGGAGGGGGAAATTAAGATTTAATTTGGTACTGTGTCCTTTGTCATTCTAATCGTCTCTTCTACTATCTTACAGCTGACTTCTAATTTACCGAATATCCTTTCCCGACATTTGGCTGTTACATGTAGGTTTCAGGTGATCATCTCCTGTTTTATTTCGCTGATAAGCAGTCGGTTTGGTTTTGCAGAAAGCAGTATTTTAACCTGGAAGCAGCCTTGCAGGCCCTGTGTGTCATGGTAAGAGTGACTGATAGCTAGAGGTGCTTTATGTATCATGGTGAGCAATCAACAGAGATGGTGAATTCCAAAGTAACAAACGCAAAGGTATTTATTAATATTTAATATACTTAATATCAATATTTTGTATTATGTGTGTATATATAATACACACATGTAATATATATTAAGCCGCTGAGACACCGTCGGTAGTGAAAGGCATTATATAAATGCAAGTTGTTGCTGTTATACGGATATATAGTCCTATATATATAAGATTTTTCATTTGGGCAAACATCAAATATGCCCATCCTTCAGATGAGTCGTTAAACTGAGGTCCCATCTGCCTGTTCTGGTGGACGTTAAAAATCCCACGGCACTATTCGAAAAGAGAAGGGAGTGTCTCTCTCCCGTTGTCCTGATCATCAATCCCCCAAATACAATTGGTCACTCACTTCATGGCTATTTGTGGGGACATTGCGTTTCACCCACAATATACACAGTCAAAACCACTTCACGGTAAACCGTGTGAAGTGCTTTGAGACGACTCAATGACGTGATAAGGCGCTATGTCAAATGCAAGGCTTATTATTGTTATATCAAGATTGCCCAGGGGTGCTTTGACCTTTCTACCCAACCTTTCCATTTGGTGCAAAGCAGCTTATTCCCAGCAGATGTAATCATGCAACCAGTTTATTGCAAGTCTTGAGACCTGCCAGAGGGGAGAAGGCTCTGAATTAAGCAGACCTGTTTATAACGAGCAATTGATTTTTAATGAGACTTTTTTTTCCCCCCAATGTTGCTCATGCAGTCTTGATTTGCAGGAGTTCAGGAGAGGCAAGCAGACAAAAGCCAACCGACCTGTAATAATCCTTACATTTGGTTAGTATTAACAACTGTGCAGGATTGGCTGCCGTGTTTCACCTACATAAAGAGCTTTGAGACGTCTGAATGACGTGATAGCACTCTATCAAATACAACTATTACTATTATTGATTCAGTACCTTCCACATCAGGAACATGCCTCAAAGCGCTTCACATGATATACTGTAAAGTGGAATTACTACCCTGTACTTTGCTGGCGAACGCAGCAGTCAATTTGCACACAGAAATGTCTTACAAACAGCCATGGTGCGAATGACTGATTTCAGAAACTCCCTCTCTTTTTGAATAGTGCTTTGGGACCTTTGATGTCCATTTGAACAGGCAGACAGGACCTTGATTTAACGTCTCACCCAAAGTACGGCATCTCTGACGATGCAGAGCTCCCCTTAGCCCTGCACCAGAGTATCGTGTCTCAGCTGGCTTTGAACCAGGAGTGAAACAATAATAATAATAATCCTTGCATTTGATACAGCACGTTATCTCGTCTTCG